TTTCTTGTTTCTTTCTAAAGGCCATTTCTGTACAATAATTAATGACTCTTTTTTACAGTGAAAACTAACTACATCATGTCTCATCTTGCACACTAATTTTATGCCTTTCTGGTAATTAAGTGGATGGACATATTTATATTTTTAACATAAATCTAATTTCCTTAATGCTACATAGCCTTGCAACACGTAAAACCCACAAAAATATCCTATGAATTTGATATCTCAGTGACAACAAGCCCTGGAAGCCTGAGAGAATGGTGGACTGCTAAAGAGAATTAAAGATGTGGTCTTGGACAGCCCGGGAGTTGTGAGAGGCATACAGTCAGGTGCAAAAAGTACAGCACACATGAGTCAAAGATTCTCATATGAGGGAGTAGAGCCCAGACTGCCGAGAATTTGACACTAGATTTGAGCAGGCCACTCAGGGTGAATACAGACTTGGAGTTATTGGAAATGGAGCAACCACTGAAATCACACCTAGAACATCTGCAGGTATGGGATTTTTTACAGAAATGCAAAAAGAATAAAATATGGACTAAGTTATAGCAAAGTCTCACACAAGCATCCCCGTGTAAAACTATAAAACTTACACAGGAGAAAGGTGGAAGCAATGGGCAAACATTGAAGAGGATTCAGAAGCCTCCTGAACCATTCTCCTTGGCTTGCTGAGGATGCCACTGTGCTACACAGTTTGGAGAAGATGACCATTGTTGCAAAACAGCTTGCAGACTCCAATGAGTGAGACTTGCCTCTACTCAATCGTGACTGCTGTGTGCGCTCTGTGACACTTGGGGCAACTTGGGGGGATGACTGTGTGTCTTAGTTTGGCCACCTGTAACTGAAGTTGACAAACCCGTGTGCTTCTTTTAAGACTGTTTTCAGGATCAAGTGCATTTCTGCATGGTATAAAATGACTTCAACACTTTGCATAGAGTAAATACTTGTATGTTGGCTATGTCTATAGCGTAACTTTGCTGGGTTTCTGTGGCTAAAATAAAGCCTGTCCTCCTCTAAAAGTGGCAGCAGAGTCTCTCCAAAATGATTTCCCTATGATTGCCTTAAGCCAGTGGTGTACAAACATTATAAGTGTCAGAACAACAGCTCCCCAGTAACACCTTTCTTGCTGCACCCAAGTCCCAATAGGTCTAGGAAACGGCATGACTGGGCCCTTCTAATAAGTAGCACACAGTGCATGCTTTCTAACCAAAATCACACTTGGAGAACCAATTGTGGTACTTAATGGGAAGAAACCCATAATATTGGAAATCAATCAGGCCTTCAATTCCTCCATCACCAAAATCCAAATAGGGAGTAAATATATTACAGCAGTATGGTATTTTCAAGAAATATTCTAGATCCAGCTTGGTCAAGGAAATGTACTTTTCCAGATTTATCTGATACGTGAATAGCCCTATAAGGTTCTAAACCAATTTCTTTTGGGACTTCACAAGGGTTGAAGACAATTTCAGGTCTTCATGGGTCCTGCAAAGCTGGCCAACAAAATCTTCATTACCAGAAAAATAATAGCAGGTGCTTAGTGTTTGCTTGTGTCCCTCACACTGAGAGTCACTCTCCACTCACCTGCTGGGCCATTTTGTTCTCCAACAGTGTTGAAAGTGAGATACACAGGGCAGTGAAAGGATACCTAGAAGAGCAGAGCTACTCTTCCCAGGCCTCAGCAGACAAATAAGAGCAATCAGTATTTTATATTAAAGTTTGTGCTTAATTATTCAACTGTGCAGCTCCTTCCTGTTCTCTTTCCCTAAGAGAGTCATGCATAAATCTGCTAGCAATAGCCACACCTTGCCTATGTTTCGTATGTCTCCCTCACCCTACCATGTCTTCCCTAGGTGCTAACTTTCCAGATAACTGACTATTCCTCAAGAGGCATGTCTTCCAGTCCCATGCCATAGCATTCAAAGTCCCTGAAGTATGCTGACAATTGCTATTGTCTCAGAAACTAAAGAGGTGGGTGTCATTATACAATAATATGTATTTGTGTGGTCCTAGGGATTGAATCCAGGGTCTTCTGAATGCTAGGCAGATCTCTACTACTGGGCTACATGCTCAGCCCATAGAATAATTTTATTAATTTTTTATTTTATTTATTTATTTTTTTTTGCGGAACCGGGGATTGAACTCAAGCCCTTGCGCTTGCCAGGGAAGTGCTTATTGCACTGAGCCATCTCCCTGTCCCCAATAATTTTAAAAAGTACTCTGGAGCCGTGAGTATGGCCGTCACACTCAAGAAGTGCTATCATTTTAGTTCCCTACTGTTTATCTTCCTTCCACTAACAACTAAAGCAAATGACTTTGTATAATACGCACTCATGTCTAATAGGATATTCATTCATTCTTTATTTTGTTCCTTTTTCTTTGTTTAAGACAAGTAGAAATTAGAAAGCAGCCTCAGCTAGGGCCCCTTGGATCCTAAGAGGTAGAGCAATAATTCATAGCCAACTATATCAGATGCTAGCATGAACTATGCATCTGTATCCCAACCTCATGAGAGCTTATGCAGCCACACAGCACAGAGACGAACTTCTCATTAAGCTGGAAATGTGACTGCCTGAACTTCTGGTGCTGTACCATATGGTTCAGTCCCAGCTGATGGAAGCTCATTCCTGCAACACACTGGGCTCATTTCACCAAGTTGGTTGAGGTGAGATTTATGAGGTGGTCATTTCCAAATCCTTTAAGCACTGGCTGCAGCAGTGGTGTTTCTTTCCATGCTTCCTTTCTATGTTGGTACAACAAAGAAAGCAAATGCTAAGTGGAAATATCACTAATGTGGCAACACATAACAACTCGTAATTAAAGACCGATAGGATCTGACTGGGCATGAGGTTGTCCATTGCCTCACTGGCCCTGTACCCTGTACTCTTGCCACCACGGAGTCCCCTAGACTCTTCTGACTTCTAACTCTGCTGAGTACATGATGCTAGAGTGTTGAGGAGCCTAAAAGCGGGAAGTCAGTACCAGGAGGATGTGGAGTGTGTGTGTGTCTGTGTGTGTGTTGTCAGACTATGCTAGGCACCCAACACCTGCTATTTTGAGAGGTTGGAGATTGGAGTATCCACATGGTGGGGAAAATCTAGAATCCAGAGAAGACACGGAGGCTGGAGATCTAAGAATTATCCATCAAGAAAAATGGATACAAATGTGTATCATATGGAGGTGGGAGGGGGAGAAGTGGTGGCACGGGGGTGGGGCAGATAAGCAGGTGCTGCTGGCAGAGGTGACAGCCAGGAAGAGCACAGAACTAATGGGGGTAAAGTAAGATGTGAAGTGCAAATAATAACGCAAAGAATAGATAATCCCTATCAAAGGAACTCATCATAATAATTTAAAATAATAACAGCTAGCACTTACCGAGCACTTAATATTTTAGCTAATTTACTACTCTACATTGATTATTTCCTCTAGTCTTCCAACAATCTGGGAAGATGGATTCTATTATACTAATTTTATAGCTTAACAAATAGAGCCGAGCAGGTTAGATATCTTGCTTAAGAACAGAAGTAGGATTAAAATCACAGTGGGTTAGTCTCAGAGCCTGAGCTTTTAACCAGTATGCTACAGTGACTCTTCGGGGCCAAAAGAAGAACTCGGATTAGTGTAAACAGCAGGAGGAGTCCAAGTCGAAACAGCCGCAACGCCTGCATCCACTGACGAGTACCATTTCTGGTGCAAGGCCCAAACATAGTCTCATTAAATTCTCAGACAACTTGAGATGGGAAATGCTTTCAGCCCTGCTGAGCAGAAAGGAAACAGGCTCAGGGGTGTCAGTAACTTGCCAAAAGTCATGCAACTGGTAGGTGACAGCAGCGGTCAAAAGCCAAGTTTGCTCCCCTAGCAGGTTGCTCGCCGACGTGTGGGACAGTCCCACTCTCCAGCTACAGAACACATTTGCTCTGAGCTCAAATTCAGCAGCTTCCAACAGTGGGATGAGAGAAAAAATCTGCAAGCATTTATGCTATCAAATTCTCGGGCACTTCCACCATAGCTTCTAATTTAGTAAGTCATGGTCGCATACAGGAATCTAACTTTTCACAAGTTTTCTCGATTCTTAATTTGGAACCAGGCCCGGGGATTGCTTTTTCATGCACACCATCTCCACGGCTGCAAGCGGAACTGTCAGTCCAAGTAGGTACTGTACTATGTTTCTTTCCAGAAGTGCACAACCCAACCCAAATCTTAAGGCAGAAAGGTGCAATGGAGGGATACACAGCAGGAAAATTTTTCACCAGGACTCCAGAGAGGTTCAGTACTTTGCTTTCCAGATTCAGAACACTGGACTCATTTACTCTTTCAGACATCACGTATGTCAACTTGGCACACTAGAGCAAAGTACCACAGATCAGAGGGCTCATCCACAAATAAGAGAACTTTATTTTTCACGCTTCCGGAAGCTGGGATTCTAGATCAAGTCTCACCTGATTGTTTTTGTTTTTGTTTTTTGCAGTACTGGGGGTGGGGGGATTGAACTCAGAACCTTGCACTTGCCAGGTAGGCACTTAAGCCGCCGAGCTATATCCCCAGCCCCTTCCTGATTGGGTTTTAATGAGAGCTTTCTTCCAGCTGTGGGCTGCTAACTTCTCCATGCATCCTTGTATAGGGGAGGTTGGGGAGGGGAGAAAGGAAAAAGGGTGAAAAGTGGGGGGAGGGGGAGATAAAGAAGGATGGGGGAGGGAGGTGGAGACACACACACACACACACACACACACACAGACTGACTAGCCATGAGGAAATACACATGCGCTCATAAGCACATGTGCTGGTCTCTCCAGCCCCCTATAAGGCCACTAACCACAGTCCGCATGGTTCTGCTCTCAATCCCTAATTAACTTGCAAAGGTACCACCTTAAATGTGGTCACACTGGGGCTTAGAATTTCAGCATACACATTCTCCTAGGGATGGGGTGGACAAACAGCCCAGTCACTGCACCAGTTTATTTTCCCTAAAACACGCATGGTGGCATGAAACCACATCTCCTTACCTAAAACTCTTAATCTCTCTGCACCCACCACCACTTCACGGTCATCCGCAGAGAAGAGCAATTTTCCAGAAACCGTTTTCACTTCAAACTTCTTGCCATAAGCTTCTACAGCTTTTGGCCCTAAAAGGGAGAGAGAGGGAGAGAAAGAAAAAGCAGAAATGCATTAGTCCCATGGCATGTGACTACACAAAAGCTTTTCATAGAACATATACATCTGACAAGATTGGGTTAGACTTTAATGTTAAGTGGGATTGGTTTTCAGAAGCCGACCGTAAAAAATCAGCCTCCTGACTTGAGTCATCTCTCATCAATTACTTTTAATCACATGCTCTCAGGCTAGGATTTTAAAGACCATCATGTCCTCCTTGCAAACTAATGGTTGAATGGAATTCCCCTCTGCTAACCACCAAATTAGTGTCAAGCAGGGGTAGGTTTCCAGTTGAGTGCATCCAGGCTTGCAAGACATGCCATTCCTCAAGGCAGCTGCCTGTCCCCAGCAGCCCTTCCTGTCAAAACTCCTCAGAATTCTGCTGGAATCTGTCTCCTCTTGTACCCTTGACCCACTGGCTGCGTTTGACACAAAGACGGGTCTATTTCTTCAGAAGCTTGATCATTTCCCAGCAGAAACTGCTATCATATATTGGAATTAATTGCCTTAGATGTCAAATCTTTGATGCTAGGACTTCGCTCAATAAAAAATGAATGCAGCATTATGTATATCTAAAGTGTACCAACAAACTTAATGAAAAATGAATTCAGCTTATTATTTGACAACAGATGCTCTTCTTGCAAGTAGGCTGTCTAGCGTGGTATAGAAGGAACACAAGGCCTCTGACCCCCTCACATCTATCTTACGATGGAGAAAGACTGATTCAAATTTAAGTATTAATAACTGATAGCAAAACTTGCAGGAGTTTAGATACAATATACAAAGTAATGATTATGTGCTAAGAATTTCTAAAAGGAAGAGACATTTCAGTCTGTCCAAGCATGTAGTTCACGGAGCTCCCCCAGTTTGTTCTACAGAAATACATCAGAATAATCCTCAGGTATAATTATCCTCATTTAACCTAGCTGTGACTAAGAGCTTCTTTTGATTGAGAAAGGATTCCAAGTTTAAAGAGTCCAAAATCTTACATTTTCACAAAATTACATAAGAAATTATGAGATACCTTTTTTGTTTTAGGTATTTTTTCCTGAGAGACTATTACAAAATACTAAGTAATAATGAAAGTGTACTCAAGGGCAGAGACCACCAGGATCACTCCTGCAGGGGAACAGGGCTGGCTTCATCCTTGGTAGGGAAGATAGAGCCACACCATGGGTAAACTCAGAGCCTCTCAGGAAGAAGCTATTAAAAGGACTCACTGTATAATTTGATGGCATCATAAGGATATTCCTACAAAGGTATTAAGAAAGCAAAATAAAGATGAAATACTTTCAGGAATTTAGAGCAGTTTTGTGCTAAGATATCTTACAAAAGCTTACCTACACATATAGAACAGACCAAGGAAACACAAAGCTGGTCACATTTACAGAAATTACATTTACTTATGTTTAGCAGGACAGGAGATGCTTGGTACTTTTGTGGAATAGTGAATGCCGCCCTTCAGTCTGAGTTCACAGTTGATGAGAGTTGTCCTGTGTCTGTGTGTATGCACATCCAAGTGCTTGTGTGTTTAGTTTTGTTGTTTGGATCTATTATGGCCAATGAGTGGCCCTTTCTGGTAAGGTTTCATGAAGTTACTTACATTTAAGCAAGGGAACTTTGAGGTCTGGTTGATAGTCGCAGGCCAGCTCCTGCATGGTTTTCTTTGGGTTTGGAATCAAAAGACACAAACACTGTTCCAACTCTCACTTTTTGGTAACGTAACTTAGAGCTAATCATTCGAACTCTTTTTTTTTTTTTTTTTTGAACTGGGGATTGAACTCAGGCCCTTGCACTTGCCAGGGAAGCACTTATTCTACTGAGTCATCTCCCTGGCCCCTCATTTGACCTTTCTGATCTTCAGTTTCTTTACCTACTCCTTTGTGTACCTCACAGAAAAGTTGAAAGAATCAAATGATTCTGAATTCATAAAAAGAAGTCTTTGAGGGGAAAAGCACTGTGAAAAGTAGGGGGCCCTCTTGTGGTCGTCGACCTCACTGCCACGATCCTCAACTTACTCCTACATCATTGGTCAGGGTGCCCCAACAATCAGTAATGATGAGTGTCTTGGCACACTTGGCTGGTCACATGATTGTGGCCATCTGACAGACCTCCTCGCTTGCTATCACACCCAATGCGGTTCTTCTGCCACAGGAAAGGACAGTGGAAGGCTCCTCAATGAGCCAGAGGCTGAGACTGCAGAGGCTACACAGAATTTTCAAGTAGCATAGGCCAGGAAAAGGCACAGGAGCCAGACTGTGGGCTCTCTCCAGGTCATTACTGAGCTCAGGGATGTGGCAGTCTGGAATGTAGCTCTTAGAATTGTTCCCCAGAAGATAAGTGATGTCTATCTGTCTAGGAAGACAAAGAGGACGAGGGTTTTCATGAATAGAACAGCCAGGAGCTGGGGAGCATCATGAGGATGGGAAAGTGGAAAATCAGAGACAAAGAGCAGAGGGAGGTTGTAAAGGACAGAGGTGTGTAACGAGGGATGTGCATTCAGTGACGGAGAACCTCGTAGAGCTTCCAACGCCGTGACCAGCCTACTGTATCATGTGTGCCATAGGTTCCCCCCACAGCCACCACTCTGTTAGTTGTCTTGGTGAGGAGCAAGATATAGCTGTCTTCATGATTGCATTAAAACATCAAGTAAAATCTTCACTGCTTGTGAATACTTTGAAGCCAGTCAGTGCCTTTGTTTGGAAGGGAGATGAGGGATGAAGATGGAATGAAGTACAATACTGATGGTGAATGAATGAATAAAGGAATGGCCTCAGCATGGGCAAAGGATAGTAACAGATTGTACATTTGGATCCAGTCATAACGGAAAAGTGGAGGAATGGCAGGGGGACACAGAGACATAGACTTTGCCTCCATTGACCTGGGCAGGATCATCAGCTATTGTGACCCCTGCCTGGGTATGGACTGAGAGTTCTCTGGATTCCTGAATGGCTGGGGACACTTCTAGGGAAGTGTACTGTAGAGACCACAGCAATTAGAGAATACAAAGCACAATTAAGTTATCTTGCTTTTCAGGGCTTCACAGAAGACAAAATGGAATATGTCAAAGCCAGAACCACTTGCATAGCTGAAGTTTAGTAATTGGTAGTTTTAGCCAAAATCCCACAGAGCAACTGCTGGCTCAGTGGTGCAGACAGCTTGCCCTTTGTGGATTCTACCCAGGGCTGCCAAACTTCCTCAGCTGGGCTGGAAGCTTAAAAAATGACCCTGGAGGGAAATGCAAATGAAGCTGAAGCTGCTCAGGCGGTCCCTTGGTGAACCCGTGGTTCCTCTCTGGAGTGGAAAAAAAAAATCACTATTTATAATGTGAAACTAATCCCCAGTTAATCCCCTCTGTGTGTGATAGTCTATGTGTGAAGTGCCTTTTTAATTACTCTAAACAGGGAGAACTGCCGCCCATCAGCATGCATTAGCAGTATCCACATGGAGCCTCTGCCTTGAATCTGGGAGCTGTGGTGGTCCAGACTAATTTCCCCCATGGGAGGGGCTCTGTCCCCAATTCCAGAGAAGGAATCCCAACTGTGCCCCTTCTCAGAGGGCGGAGGATTCAGGGTTTTCAATCACTCCTGAGATAAGAAAGTAGCTCTGCTGCAGGTCATCTATGCACTGTGGCCTCATGTGGGAACTTAGATGTCCTCAAATGCATTGTTGCATGCACAAAAGGTCATCTGAACTCCTAGCATTAGGATTTCTAGTGGGCTCTGCAGTTATTTTTTCAGCTAAATGGAGAGTTCTTGTATTGTTTTTTTGTTTGTTTTTTGTGGAACCAGGGATTGAACTCAGGCCCTTGTGCTTGCCAGGGAAGCGCTTATTCCACTGAGGCATCTCCCTGGCCCTGAGAGTTCTTGTATCTGAAGGATTTTCTTAGTAGATCTCACGGCTTATAAGACAAGAGTGATTTTCTTTCTGCCAAGTATACCACTCAGTGAGACAGGAATTATAAAGCACTGTTTGCTGCAGCTATGTGTTGCTTTCTACTGTTTCTATAAATGTAATGTAAGAGGAGAGCGCTGAAGGAAAACTTTAGGGTTTATGTTTGCATGTGTGTGCATCTGTGTGTATTTCTGTGTTTAGAATCATGTTGTGAACACATCTGTTGTAGGAGACAGAAAGGCAAAGGCTAGGGAAGGGTGAAAGTAAGAGAAGAGAGAGAGGAGAAGAGAAGAAAGGAGGGGGAGCAAGAGCGGGAGGCAAAGGAGAGGTAGGGGATGGGGGGTGGACAGAGGGCAAATGAAAAGGGGGAAGAGAAAGGAACAGAGAGCAGATGGGGAGAAAGGATGGGGAGGAAAGTGGAGAGGGGACAAGGACAGAAAGGGGACCACAGGGATACACAGGTCGAGGGAGGAGGGGAGAGGCTGACTCTTTTGGTGAATAATAGGTCATCTGGCCATTTCTAGGTTTATCAAAACAAAAATCTCTCAAGTAAACCAAATGTCCTGTAAATAAATGGCAAATGATCAACAGGCTAAATAAGTTCCTTTTGAACGAGGGAATCTGGGAGCTGGCAGTTGGATTTATTTCCCTCCTGGAGGCAATTTTCACACATGCTGTCTAAATCATTGCTTACTGAAGTTGTTTATTTAATTATTTAGTGTGGCGAATGCAGGCCAGATGTTACATAAACAAGGCCAACAATCCAGTTGTGCGTGGGGCAGCATATCTGTTGATTATAGGCTCGCGTGGAGGAGGGTCCCAGTCACTGGCAGGCAGAGCATCTCTAGACCACCACAGGCAGGCAGTTGTCTTGGAGAGTGGGCTCTCGCCTTGGTAGAAAGGACTCTGGGCACAAAGGCATCTGTTTCCTTATGGCTCGGTGATCAGTGGGGCTCAGGAATTTTAGTGACAGTAACATTTCATGGTTTTTGGGCAAGTGGCTTCTCAAAATTTCCATCTGGATACTTTTCATTTAGCCCTGAAGCCAAACAAATGGCATTTTCATCTGGAGGTGTAACAACAGCGCACACACACACACACACACACACACACACCCTCTCCCCCTCCACAGTGGGATGCATAATGCGTGTTTATCACATTGCGGCATCTACAGAGGGCACACTGATCACACCGTACGTGACATCATGGCCATGAGGCCCATGTGCATTGGTGCATTGCTACTAAGAATAACCAATCCTTGGTTAAATTTTTAGAATATGCAGCTTAAAACCCCGTGGCTTCCTTTCCAACTGTTAGAAGATAATCTATTTAAAAAGAACCACACAAACATCTCATGGATACATCTTTGTATCTGGCAAATATGTTGGTCCAAAGTGAATGCATACAGCAAACATGGCATAGATTCAGACTATCACTAAAAATCCCTTTAAACCCCTAATGAAGAGTGTGTGGCTCTGTGCACATCAGCTTCCTCGGTCTGTCCAACATGCCCTGTGTTTCTTCCAGCACTGCAGTCGGGAGCTTTGTTGAGCCCCAGGTGAAAGAGCTGGCTTCAAGTGATGTGCCAAGATCTATGAAATTCTTTGTTTTTCTCCTGAGCAGATGTCACTGGATCAATGAGTACCTGTAAACTGTGAACCGTCCTGGCTGTATTTCCCTTCTCAATGCTGGAAACATGTTAATAAACTTTTTCCAATGTGCTTCACTCGACCTCCAAGTCTATGCTTTCTGAGTTCCAAGAACAGATTAGGTGTCTCAAGGTTGCTTCTTTCCTTACCTGTTATCAGCTGAGTTAGGGCTTTAGTTTGATCATTGAGAATGTTCACAGTTACATTTCTGGCAGATTTGAAGTACAGGGCACTACCCTGCAACGACAAAGAAGAAGAGACGCATGAAAATGGCGCATGTCCAAATGAAAGGACCACCACAGAGTCACTAACTGATTAAGCTGGTTTTAGCCAAGTTTCAATTGATTCATCTTGAGTTGAACATCCCAGAGGTGTCATGATCGCCATGCATGTGAAAATCAGTAGGTATATACCCTCGAAAACAGATATGGGGCGCATATACACACACACGCACGCACACACGCACGCACGCACACACATACACACACACACATAGGGTAGCTTTCTCTGGAAAACACACAAAACACATTATTACAGTTGAGTCAGCAACAACTGGGACACAGAGTCCTTTAGGTCTTACTGAAGACGCGAACCAGCCCTCTAGTTCACAATTTTCCACCAGAACCACAGCGTCTACAGAGGTAGGCTGGAAGCTGGAGTGAGACACCCAAGCGCCACTTGGGGCGGAGCACAGTCCCACAGTCATCCCCATGACTCCTCTGCGGACATGGCTGCAGTGTAAGCATTGGAAACTCAAGAGATCTACCTGTCACCTCTGTCCCCTTTTTTTTTGGTTTTCAAAATTCTTTGCTTCCATGAACTCTGGGCCGCCACTCATTCTCCTCTTCAGCACAGGAGTGCTGGACTCTTCCAAAGCTGACCTGGGTCAGGGTGCAGCGCTCCTTCTCTGCCAAAGTTCTCGTGGCAAGGACTCCAGGGAGGCTTTGGACATGCAGTCTCTTTTGTAACTACTGTACACTGTTGTGTTGTGCAAAACTGTCCCAGACAGCATAGAATGAGGATAGGCTAGAATTCTGAGAAAACACTCCCACTCATCTATGAAGAAGATATTAAAATTTCATATTATTTAATGTTTTATTTTAAATCTTATATAAACTTAATATGCTATGCTATATTATTCTTCCTTTGTTTTATCCTTCCCACTACAATCATTTAAAAATGATTCTTAATTTGCTCTAAGTATGAGAAGGTTAGATGCGCCCTGAAGGTCATTGCTTTCGTGTTTTTTTTTTTTTTTTTTATGTCGGAGATCAAGCTCAGGACCTGGAGCTTGCCAGGCTTACACTGTTCAGCTGTCTCCCTGGCCTGGCCACTGTCTGTTAACCTCTGCTTTATTTTTAGTTTTATTTTTTATTTGTATTTTAGGACAGTGTGTACAGGGTCTCACAGTGTAGATCAGACTCATAGTGATCCTCCTGTTTACAGCCTCCCAAGTGCTGGTATTATAGGTGCATGCCACCATGCCAAGTCTCAATCCCCATCTCAGTGAGCCCCAGGGATCAAACTCCAAGCCCCTGTGTCTGCCTAAGCAGGCACTTCAATCTGCTCAGCTCTTTGGCCAGTCCTCTAATCCCTGCTTTAGAAGCTATCCTTTCCACTGATACCTGCTAGCATCATCTAATTGTTACTGGGAAAAAGAATTTCACAGTCACTTCTGTTTTTCTAAACCTTTGTTGGCACATGGTGTAGTCCTATCCAAACACACGAGAACAACTATCCTAAAAATAAATAAATAAATAAATAAATAAATAAAACAACTCAATCCTTACCTTCAAGGTTACTGTCTAACAGGGGCAAGTGTATTAGGCAGTGAATACTAGAACAAATTAGGGAGCTACAAAATATTTGCAGGCTTTCCTAGAGGAATAGTCAACATTTGTGCTGACCCTGAAAAGAACGTGTATACGATTTTACCAACTGCAAATGAAAAACAAAGCTCATGAAGGTTAGTATGGGCTGGGTGCTCAGTGTCTTTCTACTTATAAAACTAGTGAGGCTGGGACCTAGATTACGGAGTGCAGTCCAAAGCCCGAGTATGGCTTTCACAATGGAGGGGAGGAAATGAAAGGGTGACCACTGAACACTAACAATCCTTAACTGCTGACGTGGAAGGCCAGTATCCATAACCCACTCAAGCCCTGAGTCATCAGATAACCGTGAGTGAGAGAGCTGCTGACCTAGTGCCTGGGTGACCTGTGATACATCAGGTAATGGCGATTCAGTATAAAATCTCACAATTTACAATTCAATCTCCCCCTTATTTTAAATTACAGCACCAAAGAAGCACCTATAATATAATATTTTACTTTTTTCTGAACATCAAGAAACAAATACTAGCCTAAAACAGCTTGCTATTGTTTCAGAGTCTGAGTGATTTTATTTAAAACTTCAAAGCTATTGAAATGAATCTCACATTCAGAACTTGGAATCAGGATAGGTGACTGTATATTTCTTGAGGTTCATGTCCTAAAATTTCTTTTCATATATTCAGCAATCTCACCCCAGCGAGAAACGTAGCCTGGAATCAGAAAACTGGACCAATTCCCCTCACATGGATTCTCCTGTGAGTCGGCTCACCCCTTGGTGCTTGATTCTTTTCACTCTCCACCACCCACAGCAGCACCATCGCCAAGCTCACCACAGTCCGCATGGAGCGCTCTCTGTGAGGGAGATGCCACAGGAGACCTCTATGCAAGCTGATTTCCAGTCCCAGCTCTGCCGCTGGCGTGCTACATGCTGCTGATCTTGTTACTTCATTATTTCATTTCTTTACGTTTTCATGCAAATATGAGTTATTAAATGCATGAGACGTGCTTAACTTGAAATTTCACATGTAAAATTATGAGAAGACATATGGTGCCCTGTCAGGCACACATTAAGTCTTCAGCAATTCTTAGGGCATGGAAGGGAGGGAGGTAAGGGAGTAGCGAGTGACACAAAATGAAAAGAGATGGAGAAAAAGAGGAAGAAGGTGGGGAAGAAGGAAGAAGGAGGGGAGAAGTGAAGGAGAGAGACAGAGAAATGGTTCCGAATGTTAATTATGTCACTGACTTTTCCAACCTCTATGCAGAGTACAGCAGGGCTCGCCTGCATTTCCAGCAGTCTAGCTCCATCCTTGAGAGGGTCTCTCCCTACACACACATAGCTCACTAAATCTCAGTCTCCTCAAGTACTATCTACCTGTCCTTACTGATATTCAAAGACACTATCATCTAAAGATCTCATAACAGCTTTGCTCCAGATATACAGCTAGAGATACAATAAAACTATTCCATATCATTACCATGCCAAAATATTATAGCTTAGCACCAATTGTTCTAATATGCTAATACCTTGGGAAACAGAATCTTTGCTACACTGAGGTTTAAACCAAGACTCACACTTTTATTTGGAACATGCTCAAATCTTCAGGTACACACACAACACAAAGATTTCCAGGAAGAAAGCCCAGCCCAGCTAACGTGTGAAGAGCCTCACGTTGTGTGTGTCTCTGTGGTTTTTAGTTTGCTCACTGTCTTTGCTACTAAGTCAAGACAACTAGCTAGAATAAGTAGCCTTTTGCACTCCCATCATCTTCTCATTGTCCTGCAAGCTATACCATTCACCACCATGTCTAGCTATCTGAGCTCAGGGCAACCTTGGCTTTGGATAAAGGCTTTGCAGGTAGCTGTCTGCAGGCTCAGCACCGCTGTGGGAAAGGAGTCTGGCCATCTGCACCTGAGGATGCAGGTTGGTCAAGTCAGTGTGCAGCCATCAGCCCGAGATTATTCTGGACAAATAGGCAGCTATATGGGACACGCAGAAAGCAGGCAGCATGCCGTCCTCCCTGCTGGAGGGAGGAAGACAGTCCACATGCACAATCCGCTCAAATAACTGAACTCCATGTGCTACTAGAATTCTCAGTGGACAAATATTTTGATGGAAAAGAATCACACATGGCTCTGTAACTTTAAAGTAGAATAAGCACTGGGGAATCAAAGCTTTTCTTGATGACATGGGGGCCACTGAAATGAACAGCGTATTCCATCATGTCCTCCAGGGCTACTAGAGAAGTATGGCTGTGTGAATATTGAACATTCCGTCACACTTAAAAATTGGTGTATATGATTTAAAAACACGTTATTTATTCCTACATCAAAGTACAATGTGTAAATGTCAAATGATATGTCTTGTAACAAAGAGGAGCAATCCACCCCTCCCACCATTGCAAGAGCTTCCAGTGGGCCTGGGTGTTTCTTCCGCTGATTTTCTGCTAGTGGCCAGAAATAGGCTGCTATGCCATCTCTAGCTAGATTTTCCATTATTAGATGTTATCCATTTAATTTTTCCAATGCTATAAACACCATGGAACTTGGGTGAAGTCAGTGTATAATTTTACTTTGTTCCTCTCATTTCATACCCTCAACTTTTCTTTTAGTTTTTTAGGGAAGGGTCTACAGGGTGTTCAGGGTCTCACTACTAGACTGGACTCATAGTGATCTGCCTGTTTACAGCCTCCCAAGAGTTGGGATTATAGGTGCGTTCCACCACGCCCAGTCTCAATCGCAGTGCACCCTGTGGGCGGGGCTGGCACGGCAGGCCCGGGGATCGAACCCCTGGCCCCTGTGCCTACTTGCAGGTGCTTTAATGCACTGAGCTATTGGTTCTCCATACCCAGAACTTGAGACCTATGGAACTTTGGGCTCCTGAGCATTCCAGGGCTCTGCATCATTTCTTACTTTTTTCTGCTTCCCTCACTGAAAGATTCTGGATTCTGGTTTTGCCAGCTCAACCACCCCCATCATACAGCCCCTTAGGATCCTAAGGGAACTTTTTAAAATGATGTTTTTTATCTATTATTATTTATGTTTCCTTTCTATATGCCCCTCTGAATTTATTCCCTTCCCCATTTTTGTCTTTTTCACTGGAGTTTTTGAAGGAAGCAGAGCCTATGAATCCTCACAGCTATCAGTGTCTCTAGACAAGTCTCATAGTACAGCTTTCATAAGAGAAAAGCTGGTTAAAACTGTGTGCAAATAAAGAGCAGGGAGTGACTGGCCTGGGACCCAAGAGCTTCTCTGAAGCATCCTCCACACACTAATGGCACCCATGGAACATGTCAGATCTCCTCTTAGGCTGTGAGGAATGGAAACACAAACGACCTTTATCTTTAGAAAGTGTGTAGCCTAGAGGAGACGGAGGTAGCACAAAATAGCCACCGCGACGATGCAGTAACA